ACAAAAGCTCCTCTGGTAGCACAGGGCTTTAGCCAACGCCCTCGTGTCCACTTTACCGAAACATTTGCCCCGGTTGCCCGTTTCTCATCAATCAGGGTCATAGCCTCCTTAGCGGTACGATATGGAATGCGTATCAGGCAATTCGACGTTGCTACTACGTACCTAAACGGCGAACTTGAGGAGGCGGTGTACAGGGAGGTGCCCAAGAATTTTGAAGACATATTAGCTGACATCCTGGAGTCCGATTGCGATAGTGCGGTTAAAGAAAAGGCCGACAAGATGCTAAAGACATACCGTAAGGGGAACAAGGTCTGACTCCTGAAGAAGGCCTTATACGGATTACGTCAAGCAGGAAGAAGTTGGAACCGCAGATTGGACGAGATGTTGCGAAATTTGGACGCACGACCGACAGATTCAGATCCCTGTTTGTATCATATCGGTAAAGGGGAAGATTTAGTCGTGATTGGGGTGTACGTGGACGACATCTTAATCGCATCAAAACACCAACGCACGATTGGCGACATACATAGGGCTCTCACAAAAGAGTTCGACATCGTGGACTTAGGTGACGCCAAATATTGTCTGGGAGTCGAATTCGAGCAGAGAGGGGGTTGGGTGGTGATGACTCGGAAAGATCACATTGACAACATACTGAACAGGTTTGGCATATCCGATGGTAAACATATTGCCACACCCGTCGACATAGGCTCAAAGCTTTTTAAGAAAGCCAATCAAAGCGAAGAAGATCTCAAGCTTCCACACCGAGAATTGGTGGGTGCTCTGACCTATTTATCAACAACAACCAGACCGGACATTGCTTTTACGGTAAGCAGATTGGGTCAGTTCAATGACTGTTTTGGGGAGGAACACTGGAAAGTTGCGAAAAGAGTTCTCCGCTACCTGAAGGGGACCTCCAAATTGGGACTGACTTTCGGATCGAAACTGAGTCCGTTAACAGGATTCGTGGATGCAGATTGGGGTAACTGCCCCGACGATAGAAGATCTTTCACTGGATATGAGTTTCTTCTGAATGGTAGCCCGGTCTAGTGGGATGCCAAGAAGCAGAGGACTGTGGCTCTCTCCTCGAAGGAGGCCGAGTACATGGCTCTATCCGAGTGCGTGAAAGAGGCAATGCGCCTAAAGCGAGTTTTGCAAGAGCTAGGGTTCGGGACTCTTTCTGACGATACTGTTCGTTGTGACAATAAAAGTGCGTTGAAACTAGCAGAAAACACTGTTTTCCACGCGCGTAGTAAAGATATTGACATCCGTCATAACTTTGTGCGCGGGGCCCTAAGAGACAACGTGTTGAAATTGGACTACGTGTGTACTGAAGAAGTGGCGGATTTCCTGACCAAAGGACTGTCGAGAGCGAAACATGTCGAGTGCGTGCGGGCTAGCGATTTGAGCGTTCTAGGCTAGAGGACTAAAGTGCGGTTACTCGTGACCCTTGAACACGAGGGAAAGTGTTAGGAAACATAGAATGAGTGCGTGTTCGGCGGTAGTCTGCGCGACTGCGCCAGCGATGACGTAGCCATGACGAAGACGAACGTCACAACTAATGGCTGGTCGGTTGTCCGCGCGCTTGTGTCTAAGTTCACTGTAATGTATATTTACTTGTGGCTGTATAATAAATGTGTTAACTGTTGTTCGTGTTTTCGTTCCACGTGCCTCATATAACTAACAGATTTTTTGGCAGCTTTGCCCAAATTTCAGTTTTTCCAACTCGCCGTATGAAATTTTTGACTTTTCAAAGTTTCCAAAACATATACTATTATTATTTCGACTTCCAAACTTGTTTTTTTGTTTCATTTCTTCATAAATTCGTCTTATTTCTAGAATCGCTAAAATAAAATATGTTACTTTTTGACGTGTTTTAAAAATATCAATTCAGAAACGAACAGTTAGAAAATTTTCCCAGTAAACATATCAATTTGATTTATATTTATATTGTTTGTGACTATTGTTTTGACTGTAATAGATACATATTTGTCAATTCTGGACAATAAAATGTTATTACTGTATGGTGTAATCACCCCATAAACATCCAGCGGGATTTCCAATTTTACCTGCGTTATTCGTAAAATCGGCTTAGCACAACAATGTATTACCACACACTTTATCTATAATTTTTTTTTAAACCATTGTAAAAAAATAAAAACCATCCCATCAAAATTATAAGCAACTCTCTCCTAATAATTTTTGAGATGATGTCATCATGTTTTGGAAGGGTTAAAAGAATTTAGTTAGAAAATTTGGCCTCTTTACACATTCACAAAAGCAAATATGGTCATTTTAAAAACTTCAATTTGAAAACGAATACATATCTTCAAAATCTTCCTTCGTGACCATAAATATGCTGTGTATTTTGGTTCAGCTCAACGAGATCTACCTCTACTTCGCCAAGAAATTTGACATTCGCTATTCGTCATTTTTGAAAAAATTAAAATTCCATTTTCAAAAAATTGAACCGATTTTTTTAAAACTTGATTGTCATTTTAACGACAATACAAAAAGAAAGATTTCCTAAAACGCTTCACCCAAACTGTGGAAAGTGTAGCTCCCCGATCATATTCGGCAACCTGTAGGGGGGGGGAGGGGGGAAATAGGGTAGGGGTGCTGCAGCCTGTATATAAGCGCGAAACAAACCCACGATCTTCAGTCTTAATGTTGACGTTACAGCGCTAACATAACAGACACTTTCATCACCACAAGACTTAAGTATACCCTTCATTTATTTATATAATTTTTTTCTAATTCTTGTTTCCTTTTTCAGATATTTCCAAACCATGGCTCTACAGAGATGTTCATCGCCAACCCACACTGAGGAGAGTATCCCAGAAGAGGAACTCGATTCCACCTGCAGGGAATACAGAAATTTCGTCAAAAATTTCGAAAAGCCCGAAGATTTGACGAAAATAATGACCGTCAGAGGAGTCGGATCCAGGCACCTCCCAGGAATTATTTCTGGGAATTTGAGGCTCAGGCGGACACCAGTAAGGAGACATCTACCACAGGAGTAACCTATTGGATTATATATTCGTTTTAGACTAGATATTTCATGTATCCATTTTGTTTGTACATAAATTTTGTGATTTTGTTTTATAAATTACATATTATTATAACATTATAAATTAAATTATTTAATATAAAATTTTAAACTGTGTAATTTTCCTTAATTTTCCCACTGAATGACGAAAATCGTCAAAATTATTTAGACAAAAGCATGCATCTGAAGTCGACAATTCAAAAAAATGTTGAGGAGCTGGAATTCGAGTTGAACGAGCAGAGCTTAATTTCAACGGTAAAAAGTACTACTACGACTACTTTTTCCAGAATCACCAAAGTAAAATATGGCACTTCTTGGAATTTTTACAACTTTTAGTTTATACCGAATATTTCCACAATCTTGATCCGCTGCTAGTGTTGATTTCGATCTCGATAATTTGTTTTTGGTTTAATTTCTTCTAACATTCCAATTCATCCCCAGAACAGCCAAAATAAATGTAAATTTTTGTGATTTTTCTAAACTTGAATTTGAAAGCAAATATTTCGTAAATTTTATTCTGTGACCATCAACGCCATGTTTTTGATTCAAGTTATCGATAGTAATATCCCACAATTTTTGGTGGATTTTTTGGCAGCTTTGCCCAAATTTCAGTTTTTCCTAGTCGCTGTATGAAATTTTTGACTTTTCAAAGTTTCCAAAAGATATGCTATTATTATTTCGACTTCCAAACTTGTTTTTTGTTCCATTTCTTCAAAAATTCTGTGTTACTTGCCGATGTGGTCATCAAGCAGCGCCCCACGGGGCCGATTGCGACTGGAGGGGGCTTCTTCGTCGAACTCCAAGTTGACGGCTTCTCGCACCAGAGGGTTCAGCTTTTCTGAAGAATCGGAGGGCGATTTCGTGCAGGAACTCCTTCAGCGGCGGGAGGGTTGCCTCTCGGAGCAGTTGGGCGTTTCTGACGAACCAGGGGGCTTTGAAAACCTGTCGGAGGGTGTTTGTCTGGATGACTTCCAGACGGTGGAACGGTGATTTGGACGGTTGGTAGCTCCAGGCCACTGAAGCATACATCGAAATTCTTAAAGTGAACTTCAATAAGTCCGCGCTCCTCATCACCGGGAGCGAACTACCCCCCAATTTCCAAGACCTACTTCAGACGGCATGCTCAGACGCCGCAATAACCATCGGCCCCATCAATCTCCGCACTAAGCCCCAAACAAACCCCAAGAAAAGCCCCCATTTCTCACTCGTTATCCACGATGTCGACATCGACATCGAAGAACGCGACGTTCTAAACCATGCCCTTTCCCTAAACCTCAAAATCCAAAAAATGTGGAGAATAGTTTAAAAAAAAAACAATAAACCCACTCCCCTAATCCGCATCATCTCCGACCACGCCCCAACAATCGACTCGTTCCTAACCTTCGGAATAAACCTCTTCGGCCGCCACCATCAATGCGAGCCATCAAACCCGCCTCCGCCCACGCCCGTTCAGTGTTCTAAGTGTTTCACACTGGGACACAACACCTCCGAATGCCCCAAAAAACCAATTTGCCCCACGTGTCCAGACAGCCACGCCTCAAACAAATGCCCTAAAACAGAACCCCAGTGCCCCTTCTGTCAGGGAAACCACCCAGCTTGGTCCCGCAAGTGCCACCATCAATGCGAGCCATCAAACCCGCCTCCGCTCACGCCCGTTCAGTGTTCCAAGTGTTTCACACTGGGACACAACACCTCCGAATGCCCCAAAAAAACAATTTGCCCCACGTGCCCAGACAGCCACGCCCCAAACAACCCAACACTTCATCAATCCATGCCAAGGCGCTTATAGTTTTACGACCAAAATCCTTTTCGATCTCTTCCCTCGTGACAAAAAAAAAACTCAAACCGCCATCCAAGACGCCTCCAAAGCCATCTTCATAATGACCCCTCACTTCAATTACTCGGGTCACCACCTCCTTTTCACTTTTGACGCTTGATGGACATACGAACCAACATGCATGTTACTCCCTCCCCGCTGCACGCTGGGCCCCCTCCTCTACCCCCAAACCCACAAAACGCCACACAAAACCCACCCCATATCAATATCTGTACAGCCAACATCAATTTCATCAGACACAAAATGCACATAGTAAAAAACCTCATCGAAACCGACAATATCCAGATCCTACGTCTTACCGAAACCAAACCAGACGAAACATCAAAATCCGTCATTTTATCACATACCACAAGCCCTCAGTCATGGACAACGCACGCGGTACAGCCCTGGTTATCTGCGATAAATTCCCATCCACCGAACACGACCTCCCACAAAACCTTGCACACCTAGAAGTGATTGCCGCAAACGTCCTAATCGCCCAAACTTCACTCACTGTAATCTGCCACTACAATCCGCCAACCGAAAAAATATCCTCCCGCTTATTACAATACGTCTCACAACTCCCCAATGCCATTCTAAGCGGCGACCTCAACTGCAGACATACGGACTTCGGCTATAACTCCACAAACTCCAACGGCAGGAAACTAGTAAACCATCTAATCAACCACCCCATCATTCGTCTCGAAAACAGACAACCCACCCTAATTAATCATCACGGCGAATCTATACCCGACCATATAATAATCTCGGAAAACCTAATTCCAAATTCAATCCCTCTTGTCAAATAGGAACAACGGTCACTTCAGACCACTTACCCCTAACAGCCCAACTCCTATTACCAGCTTCACCACCAATTCCGACCTACATAACCATCCACGACAACAAACACGCCGACTGGGCAAAATACCAGAGACACATTACCGAAAACTTGCCAGTAATAAATAGAACGCGCGACACCAACGAGATCGACCATCAAATAACACACCTCACCAACACAATTTTAGCCGCGAAAGAACTAGCCATACCTCTCAAACGTATCCCGAAAAACAAAAGAACATTGCCTGCGCGCATCCTAAATTTAATAAAACAGAAGCGACAAATTTACAGAGAAATCCCGCGAACCCGTAATCCTCAATTAAAACCCATTTTCAACCGACTAAATGCCCAAAACAGACGCGCTATTAATCAATACCGGGAAAGCCAGTGGTCCAACACTTGCGAAAAATTAGACTACCGTGACGGTAAAAAATTTTGGGACAAATTCAAAACCATGAAAGGACAAAAAACACAAACAACAACACATCTACTCCAAAAGGGATCCTTCCTCTCCACTCCCGAAGAAAAGAGCAACGCCTTCGCTCAAACACTTCAAGAAATACACGAAATTCCCCAAGACCCAAACTTCGATCATGACTTTTTCGACCTCGTCTCCCACAAAGTGCAAGAGTTCCGCGAACAACCCTTTCATCCCCTAGCCCTCCTTAACATGCATGTACCCGACAATGACAACGACTTGACAAATGAAATTCCTAGCCACGAAGTTGAATCCTGAATCAAAAACCTAAAAAACTCCAAAGCCCCAGGGCCAGATCTAATCAAGGCGATACTCCTAAAAAACCTTCCGCCAACAGCCACCCAAGGCCTGACAACTATCTATAACAACTGTCTAAACTCTAAACGCTTCATACTTTCCGACCTTATGGAAGCAAGCCTCCACCATTATGATCCCCAAACCGGGCAAAAATCTCCACAGCCCGCTCTCCTACAGCCCCATCTCTCTCTTAAATATAACCGGAAAAATCTTCGAAAAAATCCTTACCAACCGAATAAAAGACTTCCTGGAAATAAACCACATTATCCCGTCACAACAATTCGGATTTCGCTCGCAACATTCCACAATGAACCCCATTCTAGAGCTCCACACCGATTCCACCCGTTTTGCTAACCTCAAAGAGTGCACAATCGCAGTCTTCCTGGACATAGAGCGAGCATTTGATAAGGTCTGGCACGACGGACTCATCCACAAACTTATCAAACTTCGAGTAAATCCCCAATTCATAACCCTCATAGACTCATTCCTACAAAACCTTCCTGCAGAATCAAAATACAGAACACCTTCACAGATCCTGTAAACATCCGTGCCGGAGTCCCACAGGGCTCCGTACTTTCACCCATTGTGTACTCCGTATACTGCAGCGACTTTCCCTTTGCAGACACCCCCAGAACCAAGACGAGGATGTTCCCCGACGACACCGCGTTCTGGACTACTCACCGAGACCCCGAACGAGCCACCTCTACCATCCAGGAAGCACTCCGGCGATTCGAGACGTGGGCTAACAATTGGAGAGTAAAACCCAACCCCACAAAATCCCAATCAATATGCATGACCTATCCACGAGCAACCTCAAAACGATACAAATACAAACAAACGCGACTAACACTGCATGCCGAACAAATTCCACAACACCAAACAGTCCGATATTTGGGCCTAACTTTCTCCGACAATTGCTCCCTAGTCCCAGACCTCCAAAACACCCTTAAAAAAATCCGCAATCGCACCAACCCACTCTACAAAATCCGCGGCCACATCCGGGGCTGCAATCCCCTAACCCTACAACATACCTACAATACCTTCATCCGCCCAATTATCGACTATCGGGCCCCCATATACGCGACACTTCCAAAAAAATCCCTCCAAAAAATAATGGCATGTGAACGGAAAATCCTGCGAAAAGCCTTTAGACTCCACCCAAGATATCCACCCATGCATATATACCAACGCACAAACGCGACTCCAATCCCCGACCGTTTAAAAACCCTCCAACAAAACTACGTCAAACGGACACTAATCAGTAACAACACAATTGCCATCAACACTTTACACACCACAAATAAATACCCCGCCGCGAACAACCGACTGTTACACAGCTTGCCGCTTCACCCAAACTGTGGAAAGTGTAGCACCCCGATCTTAATCGGCAACCTGGCGGTGGGGAGGGGGGGAATAGGGTAGCGGTACTGCAGCCTGTATATAAGGGCGAAACAAACCCACGATCCTCAGTCTTAATGTTGACGTTACAGCGCTAACATAACAGACACTTTCATCACCACAAGACTGTAAGTATACCCTTCATTTATTTATATAAATTGTTTCTAATTCTTGTTTCTTTTTTCAGATATTTCCAAACCATGGCTCTACAGAGATGTTCATCGCCAACCCACACTGAGGAGACTTTTCCAGAAGAGGAACTCAGTTCCACATGCAGGGAATACAGAAATTTCGTAAAAAATTTCGAAAAGCCCGAAGATTTGACGAAAATAATGACAGTCAGAGGAGTCGGATCCAGGCACCTCCCAGGAATTATTTCGGGGAACTTGAGGCTCAGACGGACACATATAAGGAGACATCGACCACAGGAGTAACCTATTGGATTATATATTCGTTTTAGACTAGATATTTCATGTATCCATTTTGTTTGTACATAAATTTTGTTATTTTGTTTTATAAATTACATATTATTATAACATTATAAATTAAATTATTTAATTTAAAATTTTAAACTGTGTCATTTTCCTTAATTTTCCCACTGAATGACGAAAATCTTCAAAATTACTTAGACAAAAGCGCGCATCTGAAGTAGACCATTCAAAAAATGTTGAGCAGCTGGAATTCGAGTTTGAACAAGCAGAGCTTAAGTTCAACGCTAAAATGTCCTATCGCCACTACTTTTTCCAGAATCACCCAAGTAAAATATGGCACCTTTTGGAATTTTTACAACTTTTAGTTTATACCGAATATTTCCACAATCTTGATTTTCTCTTTAACATATAAATTTGATTTATAATTAAATTGTTTGTGACTATTGTTTTTTCTGTAATGGGCGTATATTGATCAATTCTGGACAATAAAGATGTTATTACTGTATGGTGTAATCACCCCATAAACATCCAGCGGGATTTTCAATTTTACCTGCGTTATCGTAAAATCGGCTTAGCACAACAATATATTACCACACCCTTTGTCTATAAAATTTTTTTAAACCACTGTAAAAAAATAAAAACCATCCAATCAAAATTATAAGCAACTCTCACTTAATAATTTTTGAGATGATGTCATCATGTTTTGGAAGAGTTAAAAGAATTTAGCTAGAAAATTTTGCCTCCTTACACATCCACTAAAAGCAAATATGGTGATTTTAAAAATTTCAATTTGAAAACGAATACATATTCACAAAATCTTGCTGCGTGACCATAAATATGCTGTGTTTTTTGGTTCAGCTCATCGAGATCTACCTCTACTTCGCCAAGAAATTTGACATTCGCTGTTCATCATTTTTGAAAAAATTAAAATTCCATTGTCAAAAAATTGAAAGGATTTTTTTAAAACTTGATTGTCATTTAAACGACAATACAAAAAGAAATATTTCCTAAAACGCTTCACCCAAACTGTGGAAAGTGTAGCACCCCGATCTTATTCGGCAACCTTGTGGGGAGGGGAGGAATAGGGTAGGGGTGCTGCAGCATGTATATAAGGGCGAAACAAACCCGCGATCTTCAGTCTTAATGTTGACGTTACAGCGCTAACATATCAGACACTTTCATCACCACAAGACTGTGAGTATACCCTTCATTTATTTATGTAAATTGTTTCTAATTCTTGTTTCATTTTTCAGATATTTCCAAACCATGGCTCTACAGAGATGTTCATCGCCAACCCGCACTGTGGAGACTTTCCCAGAAGAGGAACTCGATTCCACCTGCAAGGAATACAGAAATTTCGTCAAAAATTTCGAAAAGCCCGAAGACGTGACGAAAGTAATGACAGTCAGAGGAGTCGGATCCAGGCACCTCCCAGGAATTATTTCTGGAAATTTGAGGCTCAGACGGACACTAATAAGGAGACATCTACCACAGGAGTAACCTATTGGATTACTCTTCGTTTTAGACTAGATATTTCATGTATCCATTTTGTTTGTACATAAATTTTCTTATTTTATTTTATAAACTACATATTATTATAACATTATAAAATAAATTATTTAATTTAAAACTGTACACAGTATCATTTTCCTTCATTTTCCCACTGAATGACGATAATCTTCAAAATTATTTGGACAAAAGCGTCGACCATTCAAAAAAATGTTGAGGAGCTGGAATTCGAGTTTGAACGAGTAGAGCCTAAGTTCATCGCTAAAAAGTCCTACTAGCACTACTTTTTCCAGAATCACCAAAGTAAAATATGGCACTTTTTGGAATCTTTACAACTTTTAGTTTATACCGAATATTTCCACAATCTTGATCCGCTGCTAGTGCTGATTTCGATCTCGATAAATTGTTTTTCGTTTAATTTCTTCAAACATTCGAACTCGTTCCCAGAACAGCCAAAATAAATGTCAATTTTTGTGATTTTTCAAAACTTGAATTTGAAAGCAAATATTTCGTAAATCTTAATCTCCGACCATCAACGCCATGATTTTTTTTTAAACTTACCGATAGTAATATCCTACAATTTTTGGTGGATTTTGTTAGGAAACATTGATGGAGTGCGTGTTCGGCGGTAGTCTGCGCGACTGCGCCAGCGATGACGTAGCCATGACGAAGACGAACGTCAGAACTAATGGCTGGTCGGTTGTCCGCGCGCGTGTGTCTAAGTTCACTGTAATGTATATTTACTTGTGTTTGTATAATAAATGTGTTAACTGTTGGTCGTGTTTTCGTTCCACGTGCCTCATATAACTAACAAGTTATGGGCCCAGAGAAACCACGTGAGCGAATTACAAATCACGTGCGGAAATGTCGGTCCGCGAAACGTTGAACCGGAAGTTGTGCGCGTCGGCCATTGAGGACTAACACGTGGTGTTAAGTCGAACACTCAAATTTCATGTGCCGTGTCAACGTAGCGCTAGTACTTGCGGGTTCTTTTCTCTGTTCTCGAAATTATGTGTGCGGTGAATAAACAAAATGGCATCAGGTGCGGTCAGAATCGAAGCTTTGGGGAAGGACAACTTCGACACGTGGAAGTTGCAGATGGAAGCGGTAATGATTAAAGGGGACGCCTGGAATTACGTCAATGGGCAGACGCCGAAGCCGAAGTTATTGGCGGATAGTTCGAATGTTGCAGCCGTCACAGACTGGGAGAAGAACGATGTTAAGGCAAGGTCAGACATTATTTTATCTATTTGTCCGCCGGAGTTAAAGCAGTTAAAAAACTGCGGTACGTCTAGGGAGATATGGCTAACACTGGAGGACATATATTAATCTAAGGGACCAGCCAGGAAAGTCACTCTCTTGAAAAATTTAATTTTGTGTAAGATGCCTGAAAACGGCGACGTGCGCGAGCATTTGCGCGAATTTTTTGATACAGTGGGCAAGCTTGGCGATATGGAGATCGCAATAAATCCCGATCTTTTAGCAATTCTATTGTTATACAGCTTGCCCGCGAATTTCGAAATGTTGAATGATGAACTCCCCACCCCCGAGATTCTGCGTATTAAAATTATAGAAGAGAGTGACGCGCGCAAGAACAGCATGACGTAATGATGGCAAAAAACC